GATACTTTTTTGAAATGTGTTGCATTTTGCAACGTACAAAAATAATGTAGCACTGTCCTTTGTTGATAAGATTGTAAATTGCTTTACCGAATTTAATAGCAGCCACAGAATAAGTTTTATTTTACCTTTACATTCATCCATTCAATTAATTCCACATGTGCGTTGATAGTCTGCATACCACAATTTGGATTTCATTTCGTTGGAAATGATAGCTATAATGATATGGAGATGTTGTCAAAAAGAGAAATAAAAGCAATTGTTGACCTAATCCTGTAAAAACATATTTCAGCTATCTTTTGGCTGGCTCCGTGTAGTTGTAAACTCGTTCCTGTTGATCACGTCTTTCGACACTTCCAAAAAGATTTACTGGTCGTGAAGCAAACAATATAAACCAATAGCGTGCCAATCCACAAAGTCTCGGAATTATATATAAGCGAGTTGTAGTCTTGGAATAAACGATTCAGTTAAATCCACTTAACAGTTAGGAGAAAACTTTCATATCAGCAATAGTTTTAGCGACTGATGATTTTAACCACAAAACACACTGAAGAATGTAAACTGCATATTATAACACAGTTTAAGTAATATAGCAGCATAATTATGCTACTTGTTGATCCAGAATTGTTCACACACCATTCACACCATGAAATATTGTTGAAATTTATATATTCTTCACAAAATGATGGGTGGATACTGTTTTTATATCCATAATCAGCATTAAATGATATATTATTCATACAAAAATTTTGTGTGGTAATGGTTATGAGTAACTGCAACTGAAGTAGAAAATATACAGTGAAGTAGAGTAGATCCCTCAGATTTTGTTTTGATATTTTGGTATATTTTCTGCTACTTAAACGTCTAATGATGAAAAGGTATAAATAACCTTCAAAAGCAATTATTGACAATGTTGGTTACTGTCTGTCTTCAGTAAAACAGATCAATTCTCGGGCCTATCCACATGTACATTTGTTCAACAGATTTAAAGGCTTATGCATTTACACCACCCAATAAGAATGCTGTATTGCTAGCTTTTAGAATTATTCACTCGGCTACTATTTGGTACTTGCACTTAGTACATCTGGTATATGTATTGCATAATGTCAGTCGATTGACTCCTCTTAAACTACTATAATTTTGAAGTCATTTCACGCTGTAAGCACAAACACAATTTTATATAAACCAGCGTTAACTCATTTCCCTTCTATTTAGAAACATTATTATGCTACTTTATGCAACCTTTATAAATATGTTCATAACTCTTGCTGCCATCTTTTCATCTGTTGTAGTAACCTTTAGTCCTCAGAAATATGCAATCTTCAGTTTTGTAAAATCCTTCAGCAATTGATTTTAGTGAAATCCTTCTGTGTCATATCAATCAAATTCACACTCTTTACCTTAAGCACATTTTACAATAATTGTTTTCAATTTCGAACCACAAATTTTTTTCATGTTTCGATTAACAAAACTAACACACACGAAATTATTTGAATGTTGCTAACTTCTACGTATTTACCTTTTTCATCCTTATGTGACGATTTTGTTGACGATTTATGTTCACTGTATAATGAATAATTAAAACAAAAAAATTTTATGAGTATTTTCTGCTTGTGTTGCATGAGGTATAAGATATTTTTGACTAAAATAATAAAGCACAAAGTCGACATAATAAAAAACGTATATCCAATAAAATTAAGCAATTTTGCAATTGCGCTATCCATCATACAAATTTCTGTTTGTATGATACTTTTCTGGGTTTTCTGACACAGCTACTGTTTTCTTAAATTCGTATGTTTCATAAATTAAATAGTTTTGTATGTTCCTCAAAAGATTAACTTTGCACTTTATTATTTTCGTTAATTACGCTTCAACCAACCTCGTGTCTTTTTTGTCAATGGACTTCTCTTCTTTTTTCTTATTTTTGTTGGAAGCCTCATCTTTGCCACCCTTTTTCTCATCTTTTTTTCCTTTGTCGCTATTTTGTTGTTCCTTAGCTGAGCTCTTATCCTTTTGTGATTTGCTGGCTTCAGCTATTCATTTTATTATTTATAATATCGAAAGATATGTTATTAACATCTTAATAGCAATTTAAAGGAGATTATATATTACTGAAGCAATATAATAGAATATTGCAACGAGTAATTTTGGCTTCCCACACAATATGAGTTTAGAGGTTGTTATATACATATTTATATCATATCGCATTATATGTATTTTATAACATATATATAAATATGTATAAAACACAAATAGTTATGAAATATATATATCAAAGTCAATATATACGCATATTAAGGAGTGCTTCATAAACATACCTGTTTTTTCTTTTTCATCTGCAGCCTAGTAATGAAAAGTAGTTTAATAATTTTATTTTCAATAAATTTTTGTACGTTTGAGCTTACTTCATGTAATAATTGTTGCTCTTCTTCGCCAATTGTCAAATTAATTGATTCTTCGGTGTCATGATTATTATTTTCACTAATTTCTTCTTCGTCCTCTTCTTCGTGCACTTCATCACCTTCACCACGTTCATTTTCCTCATTTTCTTGTTCATCAGCGTCAGCATCAGCATCGACGTCTGCTTCAGCATCTGCATCATCAACATATTGAGACTCTTCATCTTCATTTTCAATGATAACACACTCGTCATCTACAGTTCCCACTTGATCAATCTCGTCATCTACGTTCGCATCTGCATCGCCATTTTCATTACCAGACTGAAATCCATCACGACTGTCTTCTGGGTAACCATCCATAACGGGTTCTTCCTTTATTTTTATTTCTTCCGTTCCAGTTCTATCTTTAGATTTTGGAGTTATTTTATCTCCACTTTTAAAAACGTATTTCTGAGGATCATGGCCTTCTTGCTTTAAGGCCTTTAAAAAAAATATTTATTCACATTTTTATTATTGACGCAAATATTAATAAATTAAAGTTTTAAGAGCAATAAAATACACATTACAAAACTTTTAAAATATTAATATATAACATTGAAAATAATTACTAATACCTTTTCTAAACGTTCTACTAATGTGGCCTTAGCACCAACAGTATCCATTTTACGTTTCTCAAGCTGAAGTTTCAGATCAGAAACCCTTAATTCACTTAACTTTTTACCAGTTTCAACCATTTTGTTTACAGAAGTATTTCTTTAAATTGTGTTTTAACTTCAATTAACGACTTCTAAAGCTTGCTATGATCAAACTACTTTTCTTAATATTGCGACAGTGAAAAATTCTACTTTTCTGTATTGAGTAACAAAGCAAAATGGCTGCCAGTCAGCACGCTGATTTGACAATAGTAAAAATCGATAATACAGAACATTTAACTAGATGTGTCAAATTTATTATATGACAAATTTATGATGCATTCAAGTCCGGTAATCGGATATTTGGTAAAATGAAAAACGTGAATATGTAAAATTCATGTAAAATACGTTTCTTATTTAAAGTTTATTTCTATAAATATTTTTGTAATTAATGTTTGTTATAACCCTAAATTAGATATAATCAGACCTCATAAAAAAACATCAAACTTGATACCTTTGTAATTCATTAACATTGTCACATCGTAATTTCACAAAACATACATTAAACAAACAGTTTCGGTCATTAAGGTCGTGTGCGAGTTCAAGTAAATTGATAATTAATTGGGGGAAATAGTTAATTATGTAGCAATGGCAGCAAATGCTGGTATTTACCAGAATTTTGAGTAGGGTAAATTAGGTGTTACCATTGTGTGTGGAAATTTTATAAGATGTTCAATAAATAAATTTTAAATTAATAAGTGAAATAAATAAATGAATAAATATTTACATAAATGCAATGCAAAAAATCCTTAGGAATTTTCAATTTACTTTACCTCAATTTACTCGATCTCACGCACGATCATAATATAGACATTATTAATGATTCAAAAATGTTTGTCAACTGTAGTCATATTTGCTAGTGAGTTCAAAACGGCATTGCAAGCTAGTATTTGTTGCCAATATAATAGGTTAATTAAGGACGTGTGGGAGTTAGGCTAAGGACGTGTGGGAGTTAGGCTAAGTTGCGTTCTAAATGATGAAAACTCGAAGTTGTGCCGATAATGTAGTGATGTGTCGATACGTGTTGATAAATGGCTAAATGTGTACAGTGCAAAAAATCCCAAGAAAAGTCCCATTTGGTTTAGCATCTACTTAGCCTAACTCGCACACGTCCTTATTAAACATCTTGTAAATTTTTTACAATGGTAACACCTAATTTATCTAATTCTTATTTAGGTCGTGTGCGAGTTAGGCTAAGTTGATGCTAAACCAGATGGGAAATTTTTTGGGATTTTTTGCACTGCACAGATTTAGCCATTTATCAACACGTATCGACACATCACTACATTACCGGCACAACTTAGAATTTCCCTCATTTAGAACGCAACTTAGCCTAACTCGCACACGACCTAAATAGCTTATGAAAATATCAAGATGGCAGCACTAAATTTATGTCAAATATAATTCAATAGTTTACTGCCTTATCGACACAATTTAGCATTTTTTAGCAATTTAGTTCAACTCACACGCATCCCAAAATTACTTTACTAATGGATTTGCATATATTTATTTAGTTATATATTGAAGTTTGTTAGATAAATTTCGATAATTTAATTGCGTTTAGTGTAAATTTATTACTGTATATATTGTATTATCTTATATGGAAATGGATAATGTAAATAATAAATTAAATACTGTATTGGGACTATTTATGAACATAATTAGTTTAAACAACCGACGCAAGTTGATTGCAAAGCGTTTGGAAAGTAAATATCCACAGGTAAATATATTATAATTTCATTAATATTAAAAATGAAATAAGAATTCTGATTTTTCAGCGCAGAATGTTATGCCAGGGTGGATATTCTTCCAAAATATTTAAGTTAGTTATGCAAAAAGATAATGCGACTGTACGAAAATATTTAAGGCTTACAGTAACTGCATTAGAGAGTGTATTTAATTATTCTAAACAGTTTCTAAAAACTGAGAAGGGCTGGAGCTGCTATTTCAATATTACTGTGTTTCTGTATTGGCTTGGCTGTGGAGCAAGCTACCGAGTAACAGGAGCTTCATTTGAAATATCCAGATACACGGTGCGAGATATTGTACATAAATGCTTAAAAGGTTTCCTTACATTTAAATCTTCTGTTATCAAATATCCAATGGAAAGTGAGTTTCCCGAAATTTCAAGACAATTCAATCAACTAGCTGGTAGTACAATTTTCGATCGTGCATTAGGTGTAATAGATGGAACACATATACCTATAGCTGTGCCTACACGACTTCGGGACGAATATATGAACCGAAAGTCTTTTACATCTCTTAATTTGCAAGCTGTGTGTTCTAGTACAAATAAATTTTTATCTATTTGCGTTGGTTTCCCAGGGTCTATGCCTGATGAAGCGGTTTTATATAACAGTGAGTTATTCAATACACATAGTTTTCCACCTGCAGGTTACTACCTATTAGGTGATAATGCGTATTCTTGTCGAGCTAGTCCAATAGGCATTTTGACACCATATAAAAGATTGCAACCGTTAACAGCAAGACAAAAAAAATTTAACGAGCTCCACAGCAAGGCCCGTTCCATTATTGAAAATACATTTGGTACGTTAAAACTACGTTGGCGGTCGATTTTCGATAATGTACTTAGGTTAAAAGTCGAACATTGTATTCAAACAATAGCTGTAGCATGTGTAATGCATAATATATGTCTGAATGATGGATTTGAAATTGATGAAAAACACAATATCTCAGAGGACTTGAAATATGAAGAAGTTCTGATTGAAGACGAAAACATTGCTGCTGCAGTTATGCGCGATGAAATTGCAAACAACATTCGCCTGTAATTAATAGCAGAATCTTTTCATTTATAAATTATAGATTATATAAATATAGTAGTCAAAAAATTACAAGCAATTGAAAAATTAATTTAAATACTAAGTTACTATTTTTTTAATAGTAAATAGTAAAAATAGTAAATTTTACAACTAAGTAAATAAATATAATATTGCTACTTTAATGCTGATGTGCTGCCCCAGAAACAGCAAGGTCTATAGAACCCTCTGTGGTAAATCCTGACATCTTTTGATGACAGAATGTCGAAAACCAAGAGAGGATTGTAGTTTAAATGTACATTTATGATATTCAAATTACGTTAAGGCTCAAATTTTGATCGGGTACTTTTGGTAAATATCGAATATTGTATTAAAACAATAACCGCATATTATTTCTGCAAATATACATATGTGGATATGCAGAAAAAATGTTTAAATGATTAATTCGAGATTAATGAATGGCGTAACAAAATAAAAACAAATTGTAAATTCATAGTTTTTGAATTTGTACATAAATGATTTAAAATATGACATAAAGTGACCACAGTTATAAAAAATTATAGCTTTTAAAGTAAAAATTTAAATTTTTTTTTAAATGTCCAAACGATAATGTCGAAAAGTAAGTTTTGCATTAAAGTTTTATGTAAATTAATTAAATAAATGTCATGCAAAAGGTTTATCGTACATGTGGAATTATGCAGTGCATGTATTGTTATTTAAAATATTAAGTGTATATTTTATATTTACATTGAGAAAAACTCAATTTGTTGTTTTTTTATTTATTTACTCTGTTTTCATCATATTAATTTTGTAAAAATAATATTTACAAAATATTCTTAAAATTAAAACACATATCAATTTTTGTAAATAATTAGTTCTAATTTATTTTAAGCAAATATTAAATTCTAAATAACAATATTAAATTCTGTGAGAAATTCGTTTTCATTTTTATCAAACTTAGTAAATATTAAATCTTTTAATAGTAATTTATATTTAAATCTTCTTTATAATTATGATGTGAAATTAATATATTTTTTAATATGTATGTATAAAACATTCAAATAAGTTTCACTACGTATTATATTAAAATACTTCAACCCATCAACAAATTTTTCAGTACTAATTCCTATAAATGTATTTACGCAAATAAAAAAAAGCACCATTTGATTTATGAGGGTTGCTGTATAAAAAAGTCAAGTGGTAGTAGCTTTGCCATTTGATATTAATTCCACATCCAAAGGGTGTTTAATGATATTAATCCAAAACTGTTTAAGAAACAATAGGCGTATTCGGTGGCTCGCAAGTACGGCAAAAAACAGCAAGTTGTTGGCCTATGCAGGCCTATGCTGGCCGCAATGTACGCAAAACAACAACACTATTTTCTCTACATCGGCCAGCATAGTTATGCTGGCCAACCACATCGGCCAGTAAAAAAAAAAATGTTACCAACGCAATAAGCGAACTATTGTGAACCTTCATTGAAAATTCCAACGAATAGTGCAATCAAATGTCAAAAATTGAGGAAATAAAAATTCAAACAGAATTCAAAAATTTGAAAAATCTTGAAAAGTAACGAAGAAATAATAAGAATGGAGAAATTGTAAATATTAAGCACATTGAATTTTTTATTATGTTAGTTATTACCAAGTAACATTTATTTTATTTCATTTAATTTGTAGTTTACATACGTAAAATTAATAAACAAACATAATTTTTGAAGTTTTTCTAAAAAATTGCCGCTGCAGAACGTTGCTTTCTTCTCCCAACATCGACAGTACCTACAAAAATTTACTTATCTTAGTGTTTTATTTTTAAATTTCCAATATTCTTACCATTCCTTTTAATTTCGTGTTCATTTTAATTTTATAATATTTTTATAAAAATATATTTGATTTATATGCACATATACAAGATTTGCTGTTTGTCAAAACAAAACATTTGACAGATTGCAACAGTGATGCCAATGACTCGCGTGGCCAACATAGGCCAACATGCATTTTTTGCCGTACTTGCGAGCCACCGAAAAGGCCTAATGTTAAATATGTTCAAAATATTTTGATAAGACTATAATTTTGATATAATTTAATCAAAATTTAACATTTTTTATTGTTTTTAAAAAATAATTCGTTTTCTTTATATTAAAATTTATATTAAAATACTGTGCAGATCATATACACATTAATGATTTTGATTAGCTATGATATAATAATATCCTTAATTATTTCTTTTAGAGTAGCAAACAATACTCCCAACTTACGAAAAAAGCAACTACAATACTCTTAAAATCTGTAGAGTTAGGTTTTACTAGTAAAAACCTTTACGTTTTAGGTTATAAGGGGTATCCAAGATCTCTATGCATCGTTGCATGTGAAAAATTATTTGATTTTACAAAAACAATTCCCTTGTGATTTTGCAATTGATTTCCAAGGCAATATGCAAGACCATATCTAAATTACCCTTAATTCTCTAACAGTAAAATCCAGGGGGTATACTCCGCAACTGTGCAAAATGAAGTGTACACAAAAAGTTGCTTACATTTTGATTTTGCTATTCCTCAACTGTGAATAGTGAGTTTATCTGTCAAAAAGTGTACACTTTTGTTAAATTTTATCCACAGAATATTTGGCCGTGAGTTTTTAAAAAACACATAGGAAATTTTGTGCAAAATTAAATATAAAGTAGTATTATTATTTTTTTATAGGTTTTGAAAATGGAAAAAAGTAAAAAGCAAGCAAAATGAGAAAAAGTTTGTACTCAAATATCAATATCGAATTTTCTAACGATAATAAAATTTTGAAGCTTATGCTGTAAGAACTGTAAAAAAATTATAAAACTATAAAATAAAAAATTTTGATATAATAATTATTATCAAATTGCATTATAATTAGTATAATGTCTGCCATTTTGTTTACTTTTTTATTTTCATTAAATTAGTTTATTCAGTTTAAACACAAATTTCTTTACTGACAACTGTCAAAAATGCATTCAGCACGTCATAATTTTACATTCAGCACGATATTGTATTTTAATCAGTGCAACCTGCAACGATTCAATCTTATTGTTAAATAATAAAGCAGACTGTCAGTCAATTAGTTTGACAGTTGTGAAAACCAATAATGCAGTACATTTAAATAGATGTGATCAAATAATTAGATAATTTTTTAATACTTTACAAACGCCTTTACTACACATTGAATTTCTTAACGTTTTTTAAACATTCGTAATTAATTACAGCCGTGTGCGAGTTCAGTAAATTGATAACAAATTGAGGGAAATAATAAATTATGTCAGTAACGCAGCGAATATTGATATTTACTAGAATTTCGAGTAGGGCAAATTAGATAAATATTAGGTAAATTAGGTGTGACCATAGTGTAAATAAATATTTACATAAGTGCACTGCAAAAAATCCCTTGGAAATTTCAATTTACTTTACCTCAATATACTCGAACTCGCACGCGGCCTAAAATATATAAATCACAATAAGGGTACTCACCTAAGCACATAAATTTATCAAATATATAATTTTATACGTTTAAATACATTGCTTTATGGACGCCCCTAGTGATATATTTGTGTAAATTTATCGATAAACTATGTCGCTGTCATTTGCGATAAACAAATGCAACTGTGTAGAGACCACATAGTTTATTATTTCCCTCAATTTACCATCAATTTATTCGAACATGCACACGGCCTAAGTAACAAAACCGTTGTTGGAATTTATAAGGTATAAGTACGAGATAATTTTAAGAACTAATTTAATAAACAATAAAAATTATTTCTTGTGGTCTAGTTATGAGCATTTTGTTATGAGATTATACTGCATGTTATAATTTGATGATATAAATGCAATTTTATATACATTTTGCGATTATTGTAAGTGAAAATACTTGTTATAATTTAATACAATAATTTTTAGATTGTAACTTATATGGCGTTTACACTGACCGAAAATGGCTCATTGAAATTGGCTCATGAGACATTTGAAAGTGTTTACATTCGTTGTAATTCATTTGTTCTCATTTCAAACAGCTGATTTTTCAACTTACCTGTTGATTTGATTTTTGGCCTGCGCCAAAAAAAATGTTGCATGAAGGTTAAATATACCTTCAAACCTTATAATATAAAACATAAAAGAGGTGTATCGTTCTAAAAAGAGGTATATCGTTTTCAAGAAAATACAACAACCAAATATTTGTTTACCTTTTTTGTAAATATGTCGAAAACAACTTTCTCAAACTGTCAAAATGTTAATCTTATATATTTACGTATTTTTAAGCACCATGTTATATATCCTGTTAGTACTATCATATTCATATTGTCAAAATAGTTGCGTATTGTATTATTTACAATTATTTTACTAAAGTTATAATGTATGTGGATTTCACAATTTTGAATTAATATCCATGTTGATAAAACATATAATTGGTTGTGTTCATTATTTTTAACCAAACTGGCATCACTATATTTGAACTGTCATTTGTGTTACCGACATTTTGTCGGTAACAAAATGCTTTGACGGGGCACCATATTGTCGATAATGCTGAGCGTCCTTCTTTCTTTTTGACCACGTTCCGTGCGAGTTGTAGTTAATAAACATGAGCCTTACAATTTCTAAAAAACGCAAGGTAATTTCGTAAATTGCAATAAAATTTGTTTAATAATGTGTGGCTAACATTTGGAGTAGTGTATATATAAAACTTTATAGTTTTAGATGTGTAAAAAGCTGTTGAAATATACATTCTCAAAAGTTAACCTTAAAATAATTGTGCAGAAAAGTGTAGTGGGGCGGTATTAAACTATAACTTTAGTTGGCATTTATAACAAAATGGATTATAATAATACTAAAAGTTTGAAAAAAATTGTTGTTTGGATTTTAGATTCACCAATCTGTGTGGAAAAATCGCTTCTAGCGTCTTCACAGTAAACTACAATTTCGTGGATGTCCATGAGTGACTGCAATTGCTAATGTCTCATATAATGGATAATTCTCTGTTACATTCCTATTTACAAATCGTACCAGAATGTGAAGGCGCCAATAAGCTATATTGCATATTAATATAATATTGTGAATTTAGAATATTGAAGGGAGTCAAAATTTAATATTCATTTTTTTTATATATATATAGTTTTCTTCACTTTTCTATATTTTTTTGTGCGGTCTTTAACAAGCTTTTAATTATACATTTTTATTTTATAGTTCGTGTCCGATGGCATGTTCAAAGCTGAATTGAACGAGTTCCTTACTCGAGAACTCGCTGAAGATGGTTACTCTGGTGTGGAAGTGCGAGTCACCCCATCCCGTACTGAAATAATTATTATGGCTACCAAAACTCAACAGGTATTGGGTGAGAAAGGCCGCCGCATACGTGAATTAACAGCTATGGTACAGAAGCGTTTCAACTTCGAACCTGGTCGTATTGAATTATACGCCGAAAAGGTAGCAACACGCGGTCTATGCGCCATTGCACAAGCTGAATCTTTACGTTACAAACTTACTGGAGGTTTGGCTGTACGTCGTGCCTGCTATGGTGTATTACGTTTTATTATGGAATCTGGTGCCAAGGGCTGTGAAGTTGTTGTATCCGGTAAATTGCGCGGACAACGTGCAAAATCAATGAAATTCGTTGATGGTCTCATGATTCATTCCGGTGATCCATGCAATGATTATGTTGAAACCGCCACTCGTCACGTATTGTTGCGTCAAGGTGTTTTGGGTATTAAAGTGAAAATCATGTTGCCTTATGATCCCAAAAACAAGATTGGTCCTAAGAAACCATTGCCAGACAATGTTTCGGTTGTCGAACCAAAAGAGGAAAAAATCTATGAAACTCCAGAAACAGAATACAAAATGCTGCCACCCAGCAAACCTTTGGATGATTTGGTTGAGGCACCTAAAGCTTTGTAAAATGTTTTTTATTTCTTAAATGTGAAAAAATACAAATATAATAAAAATGTAAGATTTTTAGATAAAAAACAATTTATTAAAGAATTTTTTTTTTAGACTTTTCAACTGTACTTGGTGGAAAGATTCTGTTTGATACTAAATTATATATTTTGAAGAAATTAATCACGTTTATTATAAGTTTTGAAACAAATTAAACTGGTTAGCAAAATAATTTGGTTACATCTATTGTCACAATACGTAATTTGATTTAGGAATAATATTGTGTAAAGCATCCCTAAGTGGTTGGTTGTGAGTAGTTGAATGCGTGTATGCAACATTATTATTAGATTGTGGAATGAAGTAGCTGTTAACGTTAAGTAAAAACTAAAATTGTAAAAATTTATTCATTAAATAGTGGGCATATTTTTTAAAACTGAAGTTTGAAAGTTTCTTATAAAATTTTTGCATCTCTATATCATTGAATTCATTCAGTTATTATTTCCATAAATTTAGATTATGTTTATAATTTTATTATATATACAAACTTTTTTATTGTTGTACCGTTCAAATCTTCAACACAGTAGTTTCTATTGAAATGGAGAATACTGGCGGAGATGCTGAACATGGTGAGGGAGAAGGTGAGGTAGAGGGAGAGAAAAAAGTATTTCATACCTATCCACTTGTTGTATATACCGACATGTCTGAAGAAATGCAAGGCGAAGCTGTTGAAGTAGTAACCATTGCTTGTGAAAAATATCCATCGAATTTAGATCTTGCAGCGCGTCATATAAAACAAGTAATGGATGTTAAATATGGTGCTAGTTGGCATGTGGCAGTAGGTGAGTCGTTTGGCTTTGATGTACCCTATGAGACCAATCATATGCTGTTTATGTATTTTGGTGGCAATATGGGTATTGCACTTTGGAAATGTGCTTAATTAAAGTTAAGAATTAAGTTAAGTTTCCTAACGTAAATGATGAAAATATTTTAAGATAAAATAAATCTATGAAGTGAACAAACCAAAGAAATGAAAAAATTAAGCCATCAATATCGGTCTTTTGGGTAATAAATTAATTAATTAATCTTTTTTTCAACTGAAAAATGAAACACAAACCATGCCCTTATTATGAAAAATAAGAAAAAAGTCAAAATTAATTTATTATTCTTACTATATATTTTATATTTTTTATATATAAGATAAATTATATAACTGTTAAAATGTATGTAATATATGTACATATGTATGTAGCATAATAAGACCTTTAAATTCGAAAAGAACTTAATGTTTCAATAGAAAATATGTTTTATTTCTTATTATTTCTATGTTCTTTTTTATATATAACACTTTAAAATGTCATTCATTATTTGCATATTTTGTTTATGATTTATTATTTTTATACTATTAATAATTCCATGATTTGTATTAGAAAGTACATATATAACTTAATGCATAAGCATATACTATTTAACGCATAAGCATATACTGGCATATCACATAAGCACTTAGAAATACAGTGACGAACAAAATTATTGGCACAGCAAGCAAATTGAACTTTAGCACTATTTTTATCCTGTTAATGATGCGATTTTAAATAAAAAAAATTTTTTTTAGATAAAATGTTTAATTTGCTTTTAAATTCATTTTATTTCATTTTATTTTCTCTTATATTTAATTTTTTAAAATTTAAAACCAAAAAAAAGAACTAAATTTGGCTGAACAAAATTATTGGCACAAAATTAAAAATTAAAAAACAAATTAAAAAAAATAATTTCGGTAACAATTAATATTTAGTGGTCAAGCTCTTCTATTTAATAATAGCTACTATTTGTTTTGGAATCGAAAAAATCACTTATTATGTGGTTTTTGGTCCAAAATTTTGCCACTCTTCAGCAGTGACACCTTCAGTTCTGCCATTGTTATTATAATGGGCTTCTTTGGACTTCTGTCTAATTCTATATTTGTACAACCTAATAACTGATAATAAATATAAATGATAAATAATAATAAATAAATAAATAAAAATAAATAAATGATGTATAAATGATAAAACTCCATGATTTGTATTAAGAAGTATATAAGATAAACAGTTACACTTCATCTCAACACCAAAGATCAAACGCAATCGATTGGTAATAGGTAATATAACACCATCATCCGCAACTGTCAAGCCATCATGTGATACTTAGCGTCACAAAATAACAGAGAATAAGTAAAGAAAATAAATAGAATAAAATTTTAAATAAAACTTTAGGATTTTCAACCGATGTAGATTTTATAACAAACTTTTATAATGTTCAGTTCTGTTCAAGAAAGTGCTTCCGTTTTTTAAGGAATAGAAATTAAATGTTTTATTATTGTTTAAATAAAAACAATATTAAATATTAACTTATACACAAGTTTTATATGACTTTTACTAGGCATGCGAACAAAAAGGAGATTTATATTTACATATTATGCGTGACAATATCATATGTCCTCATATATCCCATAATATAATAAAAAAATTAAGTAAAAAAACATACAAAAAAATATTGACCTAATAGGATCTTTCCAAAAAATTACCAGAACTTAAATGAAAATGATCTTTGAACCCACATAAGTGGCAAATGATATAATACCTAATCTTAATACCGTATAAGATATTTAATTAACAGATATAATATCCAATTTTTGTATAAAACGTAATTAATTCTTAGCGGTTATGTATATTTTGTTATATTATCACATCAATAATAAATACATCAGGCTAAAGTCAAACTAGAAAGATATAGCCAGAAAGAAAGATATATAGTCAATCCAGATATAGATATGATCAAATGGTCGTCGATTACCACATTTGATATTGCTTACAATGGTTTAAGTTTTTTTACCTTATATTAAAAGCTATGCAAAATGTAATAATCATTTGGTATTCCCCGTAAAATGGCCCCAAGTCGAAAACATGTTTTTGTCCAAGTCTTAACAGCAAGTGGGGCAATCATACTGTTAAACCTTATATAAAATCCTTCCAGCAGATAAACGTTTTTGAGATGGTGAATATTTTTTTGTGAAGGAAGCTTAAGCCATATTCGATAGAAAATAAATTTAAAACTTGTAAAGTAAGAGGACTGTAACTTAATAGAAACTTCGCTATTTCTCTTGTACCGTTTGGTGTATCATCCTCCGTTTGGATTATGTCTGCTGATAATGTTGTGCAGACAAACATTCCTTCGAGGAAGGAATGTTTAAACTCAGATTAAGACATTAAATTTTTTTTTTGGATAAAACTAAGAAAGTATGACTTTGTGTTACTAGGATTGAAGGAGTGATAAGGGTGTTGAGGACCTTGCTAGTCTTGATCCTCTATATTAGTATTATTATTATTATTATAATAATATTAAGTGAACATTTATTGTATTACAAAGGTTTACGCATTCTGAAAGGTAATGCAAGGACAGTATGAAGGTCTAGAATTTTACGTGGATACCTGCCGTGAAGGCTCAACACCACGGCATTCTTCACTTACGCATCGGTATATTTCATCGATAAATGCCCCATTGGAACACCGAGGAATTCCACCGATACCAGTTGAAATTATATGTTTGGACATAACATCATCCTTGGTAAGGAGCGATACTTATCTAACACCTCTGCTGATTTTTGAGTCACAGCACGCGGTTGGAAAATGTAACTCCCATTTACATCGAATGATTGTTAACGAATACAATCATTGTACTCGCGTAAATTTGGGTTTTAACCACAACTAACTCGGCACTTTCTTTAAGGAGCCAACCTAGAGCAGACAGACTATTGGAATTTACAACGACTTTCACTCTTGAGGTCATACTTTGATAGCATAGAATTCTGCCGTAAAAATAGATCCAGATAAACCATTATAATTATCCAAAAAGCATGTAGAAAAACCAAAAAAAAATTCTGTACGTGATTATGTTTGGTCAAACACTCTAAAAATCGAATTTTGCACATAAAGTGATCTAGGTTAATGAGAGGAAGTCCATACTCATTTATCTTAAATATCATTTATTTCTCGCTTATACCATGACCCGTGGAAACTTAAGTATCTGATCGACTCATTACATGGATAATCTAGATTTTGTAAAAATTGATGACACATGTATTTTAGTTTAATTTTATATAGGATTGAGAAGTATTAAGGTTTCCCCTGATTCAAGCACAACTAAACAGGATCAACAGGGGGCACTAGCCAATAGCTGCAGTATTATAACATGCAATTAAAGAACATATTAAATAGTTGATTCTTGATTAATACTTGTTAGGATACAAAGCTCTCACCCTGCACATTTAGGTACTTAAACAAGTACAGAAATGTCAGGTTAGTTCATCTTTATCTAATGGGGGAAACGTTAATCCTTGATATTACAACCGGCCATTATTTCAACTTAAGTGGGCTTTAAGCATAAGGTCGCCAATTAAGATTCTGTGAGAAAGATATTGGTTTCTCTCATGTCATAGACTATTTATTCACTGCATAGATATGACTAATAACATAGATGGCAAACATTAAACTCAACTAATTTTCGATAATAGGTGAAATATCGAATTACTTTTAATATACGTTTGATCATTTCAAAATATATAATATATTTAGCAGCAAGTAAGCGTGTTTTTGAGATGGCAGATATTTCTGTGTAGGAAACAATAGCAAAATTTTATAGAAGACAGAATTTATTGCCAATCAGGTAACTGCAGTTCAACACAACAGGAACTTCGCTATTCCTTTTGCACCGTTTGGCTTAAGCCAATCTTCGTTAGGTTGAATTACGTTTGCCTGATTCATATTTGTATGAGTTCTAAGGTCGGTATTAGAGACTTAACGAGGACACATGTAATTTCAGTGTTAAAAATCGAGGATAGGAATAGGGACTAAATGTAAAATTTGTTATAATTTATTTTGGCAGCCGTCTATTTAGATTGAAATAGCTCCCTTTGACACAGTAAAAAACAATATTTAGAGTTTGGCTACTTAACAATAGATTGGAGTTTGCAGCTACTATATAAGCAAACCTCAACTATCTTAGACATTTCTGCTGTATGAAATTTTTTTCTAAGTATGGTCA